TCGTCTTAAAGGTAAGGCAGCCCCCAGAAGCCTTGCCTCTGGCCTGGACCTTGAGGTCCCCCTGTTCTCAGGCTCGAGTTCTCCCTGGGACCAACCTTCATGCTTGCCAGGTACCCTGGCTTTCCGGCAGCCACATCTGGGGATGGGGGGGAGCTCTGCCCCTTCCCTCCTCCCAAAGAGTCATTAAAGGCCTCCTCCGGCCATTTGAAGGCCTTGATGGACATCATCCCCGTCAGAAGCTTCTGGCCCTCGCCTCCTCCCAGGACACAGCCCGCCCTCAGCCCCTGCTGCCCCTCCCCACGGGTCTCCTGAGTCCCCAGCTGCTCTGAGCTTTATCTGTCTTCACTGACCCCCTGGCCTGGTCCTCAGCTCCAGCTCAGCACAGTTCCGGCTGCTTCCGCCTGGTCTGTATCTGTTCCCCATCAGAGGCCCCATTGGAGCTCCAGCCCTTCAGCAGCCCAGATAAAAGAGATGGATGGAAGTGAGTTTCGAGGATGCCCCTCCCTCCAAGCCCAGAGCTAGAGCCCTGGGTTCTGACAGGGGCTCCCTGAGGAGGGCGGGGGTTAGGGGTGTGTGAGGGTGAAGGCTGCCAAGCTCTCTGGAAGCCCAGCCCCTACCCATCCCCACCTTGCCATAGCCCTTCCCCTCCTCCTAAGACCCAATTTCTCAGGCCTCCTTCAGGCAGGCACAAGGCTGTAATTACCCACACACTTCAGCAGGAAGCTCTGTGCTAGGTACCCTGCCCCATCTCCATGTAGCTCACCCACCTAGAAATAGTGACAGTGAAACTGACCATTTGTTGAATACCTATTGTGTTTCAGACGCATTACTTATAAGATCTCTAGTCTCATCACAACCCTTACAGAGGAAGTTTTATCACTATTTTGCAGAGGAGGGCACAGAAGAAGGAAAGCTTAGAAACTTGCCCAAGGTATGCACTTATAAAGCAGTACCACAAAAGCTCATGTCCCCTCTCCAGCCTATCCTTGACCACAGACCCCCAGTTCTGTTCCCAAAGACCTATCTTTACCCTTCAGAGACCAACTTCCCCTAGAGATCCCCAGGAGTTAAAATCTGGGCCCCTGTGAGGGCCAGCTGAGTCCCGAAGACCTGTGGGTCCTTCTCCCCGCTTTAGTGATCTGGGGTTGGGATGGGGGGACAGAGGGGAGGCAGGAAGTAATTGTCCCTAGAGCCCTCAACACTCATCCTGGAAGACCCCATCACTTCTCATGACCCCATTTCAGTACCCTAAAGTCCATCCTGCCTCCCATGGTGCTGTCCACCAAGGGGACAGGGTGAAACTTGATTGTGGGGTAACATTTGTCACCAAAACTGATTTTCATAACTCTTCACCCTCTTCAGAGAGCTTTCAGTTGCCCAGATAGCAGAGAAAATATAGAAAATAAAGGCAGGCCAGGAACCAGCCCGTATCTTCAGCCCATCCCCCTTCCCTCAACCAGTGTGGTCACAGTCCAGGGACCTAAGATCTCAACCCTGGGAAGAAAAGGACTGAAGAAGGGGAGGAGAGGCAATGAAAGGACAGAAACCCTGGTTTTAGGATGATGTAGTCCAGCACAGGAGGCTGAGAAGGAAGGGGACAGGAATGAGGTGTTACCACAGACCAAGAGTGAGGATGGTACCTGAAGACTTCTGGCCTTGACTGTGTCTGGAGAACATCTAGCAAAAGGAGGGAAGGAATGATCCAGAAGCACCTTTTTCCCAGTTCAGTCCCAGGAATGTGTGTGTGGTGAGGGGAGGGTATGTTCTGTGACCTTTTCCAGGTCACCATTGTTTGAACCCCCTGGGCTGAGCCCAAATTGAAACCCGGTAATGGCAGCTGGGCAGGCAATGAGCCAGGTGGCTGGGATGGGGCTTCACGGGACCGTGGTGCTGAGAGTTCTGCCTCACCTCACCCACCAGTGAGTCACCTAAGCCAGGCCAAGCTCTGGAGCCTCAGCTCTTCTCCTCTGCCCCCCACACATCTGGGACCCAGCTTGAGGAGAGAGGACTAGAGAAGAACATTAGGGGCCCCTGCATGGAGAAGGGAGGGGTGGGAGAAAGGGAGGGATGACTCCATCTGAGATGGCCTCCAAATTCCACCCCAAGATTGGTTTTCCTTGCCACCAGAGCCTCTACCTCCATACCCTCCCAACTCCATCCCTGATCCTGACCTCATTACTCCCCTCAGGCCCCACCTCTATCCACCAGCTCATCCTTCCCCCAAGAGTTCTCAAATCACCCCCATTATCTGCAACTGAGTCCCAGAGCTTCCATCACTACCTCCCAGACTGGATCTCTTCCAGTCTCTAAATGCACCCACCACTGCCCTCCGAGAACCTATTCCTACCCCCAGCCTCCCAGACTCCATTCCCACCCATCCCCAACCCATCATCCTTCCTCCTAAGGTGCTCTGCTTTGAGCAGAGAGGTGAGAATTGATCTTCATTAACATTCCATCACTCTAAGTGGACTTGCCTAGCTGTTCCCTGTTTAGAAAGAACCTAGTCATTCAGAGGGCTGAGGAAATAACCAAAACATATCCTAGGAGGTAATCAGCCTATGTCTCCAGCCTCTTTCCCTCTGCCCTCAGCTGCCTACACACTTAGAAATAGAGTCCTAGGTGACAGGACCTGAGCTTTTAAACAAAAAAACAGGGAATCTCCAAGCCCACCAGAGTATTTAAGCCTGTCTATTCCTCACACATATATATGTAAACAGAGTTATACATATATACATGCACACACAATCCTGTAAACATACATGTATATAATTAATTCACATGCACATCTTAGAATAGAATGTAAGGGGACTTCCCTGGTGGCACAGTGGTTAGGAATCCACCTGCCAATGCAGGGGACACGGGTTCGAGCCCTGGTCCAGGAAGAACTCACATGCCGTGGAGCAACTAAGCCCGTGCGCCACAACTACTGAGCCTGTGCTCTAGAGCTCACGAGCCACAACTACTGAGCCCACGTGCCACAACCACTGAAGCCCGCGTGCCTAGAGCCTGTGCTCCACAACAAAAGAAGCCACTGCAATGAGAAGCCCGTGCACCACAACGAAGAGTATCCCCCGCTCGCCGCAACTAGAGAAAGCCTGCGTGCAGCAACGAAGACCCAACGCAGCCAAAAATAACATAAATAAAATAAATTAAAAGAAAAAAAAAAAGAGGGCTTCCCTGGTGGTGCAGTGGTTGAGAGTCCGCCTGCCGATGCAGGGGACACGGGTTTGTGCCCGGTCCGGGAGGATGCCACATGTCGCGGAGCGGCTGGGCCCGTGAGGCATGGCCGCTGAGCCTGTGCGTCCGGAGCCTGTGCTCCGCAACAGGAGAGGCTACAACAGTAAGAGGCCCGCGTACCGCATAAAAAAATATATATATATTTGTTGAAAGAAAGGCAAATAATAGAACATGTACTTGCAAATAAATGTATACATACAGCTATATACACATATAACAACACATCCATATATACAGTGCTTATGTACACACATACATATATGCACCTACATGGTTATCTACATACATATATCTGCATTTAGATAATCTACATACATAACATTGTGATGTACATACATATATATACATACATGTACACAGTGCATGTAGACACATATACACACATAAATAGTATGAACATATTATAGATATCACATATATACTACATATACATGTGCACCTTCACATACGTATATGAATACAAATCAAGCACCTTTTTTTTTTTTTTTTTTGGGGTAGGCGGGCCTCTCACTGCTGGGGCCTCTACCGAGCACAGGCTCGGGACGCGCAGGCTCTGTGGCCATGGCTCACGGGCCTAGCCGCTCTGCGGCATGTGGGATCTTCCCGGACCGGGGCACGAACCCGTGTCCCCGGCATCGGCAGGCGGACTCTCAACCACTGCGCCACCAGGGAAGCCCTCAAGCACCTTTTTACTCAAATTTTTCCAGTCAATTTAACTGTCTCAAGACCCTAGGCCCAGGTTTGGCTGCTATAACCAGAAATAACCACCAGATGGCACTCTTTCACCACTTCCTGTTCTAAGTGTTGCCAGAGGTGTCGCCAGACATGTCTCTCTCCGCCTAGGCCCAAAGCTTGCAGAGCCGGCGTACCCCAGGCACTGCCCTGTCCCCTACCTACAAGACTGATGCGCTTGTCCTTGGTGCCCAAAGCCTGCAATCTCTGCCCTCTCTGAAATCAGATTCATCCTCTTGGGCCTCCAGGCTTCTGTTGGAGAAGTGGACTCCCCTTTGGGGCTCCAGTTCTGCTCAGCCCTCAGATTCACACACACATACACACACCCCGTTCACCAAAGAGCTAGCGGTTGGACTTCACCTGGACTCCCTCGACTCAGACCAGCGCGGCTCAAGGACCCTTCCTTGAAGCCTTCGAACTAACAAGCAACCGGCTTCAGTGGCCCTATTCCCCAAAATGGCCCAAGGAGTGAGTCGGGGACATTTGGACACTTGTAGCACCTACACACCGGTACACACAGCCCCCTTTGGCGGCTTACTCCCCACATCCTGCCTGGGACGCCCAGCCGGGTCAGCCAAAAGCTGGGAGGAGAGTGGCTAGGCTCTGGGACTTAGTACCCTCAGCCTGGGAGCGGCTGGTCCCGGTTTAACCCTTCCTGCCCCGGTCCAGTCTTGACTTCAGGCCTCTGGTTCAGAGCTGGAAGGAAGCGCATTTGCTCATCTTAGGCAAACTACTTAAAATCCCAGAGATGGGGGAAGTAGGATGGGGCAGAGCCTCTCCTGCCTCCAGACCTAGAGCACTGCGAGTCAGCTCCCTTGGAACCTCATACGTCGGGTGTGAGCAACCTAGGACGAAAAACGCGAGGAAGGCTTGGAAACCCGTGGGGAGGCGAAGTCGGGAGTTCTGGCAGCAGCTCGGCTTCCCCCTCCACCTCCCCTCTCCTCCCCGGGAGCGGCGGGAAATTATTTATTAAAACGCCGCCCGCGTTCTCATTTATTTGCGGAGAATAATCCTCGGCATTGCAGCGCGTTTATTAAACCTTTCCCGTCCCAGCAATTCTTTAATAATAAATCGCGTGTCACTTTCCAGCTACGTTATTAAAGCCGGTCCGCTGGAGCAGGTGGGGGGGGGTATGCGCAGCAGGGGTTCCTCCTATTCAAGGCTGTGGGGCCTGAACCTGTAGCACCGCGGAGGGGGAAACTGAGGCTATAAGGAGGCTGCACCTGAACATCCCGTAATATCTGCAAAAGTGATGGAGGAGTACGGGTTCTGGGGGATGCGTGTGACCCTCTAGGATCGTGCGGAGCCTCTGCTCTGCAAGTGGGCGCGGTAGGATCGATGGGCCCACCAGGGGGCGCCTTCGAGCCCAGCTGGCCGGGAGTCGCCGGCGAAGAACAAGTCAGTGGCGGATTCCCTGGCTGCTGGGGGACCCAGACCCCAGTCCCCTCTTTCAGCGCGGAGCAGACCTCCTTCTGGGCCGGACGCTGAACGGCCTGACCCTCCTGCCCCCACCATACTGCTCACATCCCTATCCCTACTTTCGCGGTCAACTTAGAATTCGCCCCAAGTATCCAACCCGCTCGAGCTGTTGAGTGCTGCTCCTGGAAACGCCGGACTCCAGCCAGGACTCAGCAACAAGAGCTGTCCTCTGGCTTAGCCTCTGGACGAGTCCTGAGGTTCTGCGGGAGGGGCAGCCAAGCCCTTGGGTTGGGGTCCGGGCCACGCCCCTCCCAAGAGGCCGGGCTCCCTGTATTGGGCCCCAGAGGACAAGCTCAGACACCGAGTCAACTGCGACCTCTCCCGTTGTGTGGCGCCAGGCTTCGGGTGGAACCCAGGCGCGTAGGAGGCCTTCGACACCCACACACGGGGGTCTTGGCCTCGCCAACTTAAGCTTTCATTTTCTCCTTTAGTCAGTCAATAAACAGTACGCCTCACCAGTGTCCCTGGGCGAGGTAAGGGGAGTGTGGAGAGAGATTTCGGGAGCAAAAGAGTACGGCTCTGTGAGGCACCTCCAGCCAGAGAAGACAAGTCACAGTTGGGGCAGACGAGAAAACAAGCTTACCATGATTTTGTCTGGGTTCGGCTGGGAAATGGGCGGCTTCGTAGGGAAATCCCAGGGTGTGGCCCATACATGTGACCAAACTTCTCCCCTCCTCCATCCAGTTTATGCTTTCATACTGGGTCCTACCCACATAGATCTGGTTTCCCATTCTGCCTGGGGAGGGGACAGAGAGGCAGGCAATCTATCTCTAGACCAGCCCCAATGGAGTGCAGACTGGGGGGATACCCTCCCTCCCAACCAGATGGCTCCAAACTTCCTGCCTGGGGCGGGGGTGGGGGTGGGGGGAGGCCCCAGCTCAAGCTTCCTCTACATCTGGCAGGCATGTGCTTAAAGAGCAGGACCTACAGCTTCTGGAAGCCAGAGTCCTACTACCCTGGGAGGCCTCCCAGAGAAATGCGGTCTCTGTGTGCAAATCTGCATGAACCATCTGTCTCAGTTTGTTCATAAATCTTTATTGCGTGCCTACTGTGCCTAGTCTTGTGCTAGGCATCGTCCAGTACAAAGTGGTATAATATATGGTACTGCCCTCATGGAGTTCCCAGAATGACAGGAAAATCAGACATGCCCAAATGCCCATCTTACTGCACTGAGCTAAACCACGCTCCATCGTGCCTTCCTGGACAGCAGATGGCAAACAGCAAAGAGGATTGCAGTTAGTATGTGCAATTGGGACTTAGAGGGAAATTTTCTAGAAGGTGAGTTTCAAGAAAGGGAAGACTGAGGTTAGGCAAAGACTGGGGACTAGGAAAATAACAGCAGGAGCTGTGCAGAAGGGCAGTCAGAAGACTGGCTGAGCAGAGCTGGAGGGAGGGCTGCTGGAAAGAAGTAAAGGATCCTGTTATCTGCACCCCTTTGTGTCACCTCCACTCCTCCCCCCCCCCCCCCCCCCCCACCCCTCACTCAGCCTAGAGACCAGCAGGCAGCTATTGCCTAATGCCTGGTTGGTCCACACAGGAGACCGTCCTGGCCAGAGCACCTCCTGCATGGGCCCCTCTGCATCCCACCTCCCCTAGTCGCTGCCTCTCTCCTTACCCTCCAACTTTTGTCTCTCCCACCACCATCACATCTCCCCTACTAAGGGCATTAAAGCAATCTGTGAAGGGGCCCTGCTCCCCCTTTCTAGATCTTTTCAAGAGCAGGGTTGAAAACTATCCCCACTCACCCACCCCCACGGGCCACGGCTCTGGACCTAGTAGTAATCCTCGGCCTCTTCGCTCTCAGCCTCCTTCTCAGGAAACAGGCGCAGGAATGACAGCTGGGGGATGCCTGTGGAGTTCAGCTGGTCTGCAAGCACATGGGGACAAAGGAGGGAGAACAGGAAAGAGGGCTGTCAGTGCCCATGTATCCCAGTCTGTGAGAAAGCCATGCTTGTGTGTGTACCCACATGCATATACACACATGGACACACATTCAAAGGCATGAATCCACCACCTTCCCCCAGCCCCCAGAGCTCAGGGCTCTCCCTTACCCAGTGTGAGCACTGTCAGGCTAGCTGGGGCCTCAACCTGGCCGAGGGCATTGCGGGCCAGGCAGCGGTAGATGCCCTCATCGCTAGGACGCACAGCCTGGATCTGCAGCCAGCCCGTCACCTCAAACCTCTGGGGTCCACCCCTAAACTGGAGCCAGGAGGAGTCAGCAGCATCGTTCTAGAGGGACCGTGGGCTGCCCCGGGGAGGCCTCTGCTCCCTGTCCCTACCTGCACAGAGATGTGGGGGTCATCCCCTGGCAGTTGAATGTCCAAGCCGTCCTTTCTCCACTCGATGGAAGCCATGGGGTAGGCAAACACTTCACAGCCAAAGATCACATCCTGCCCCGTCACGTTCCAAATGTCATATGGATGCGACACAATCTGGGGCTCTGGGGGTGGAGATAGGAGGCCTAAGAACAGGATGGCACATCCAGCCCAGCAAGGACCCCATATACAAACCATTTTGAATGTGTTTGTGAGGGAATACATATATGCTGAAGTAAATACACATCCATAAACATGACATGACACATACACAAATGTAGCTGCAGGTACACACAAGGGTGGGAACACAGCGATGGAAATGCACAGGCAGACAAAATGCGCAAACAAGCACAGAGACCCACACCTCAGCTTGGCAACCACACTCTGTCCCTGATTGCTCCCCTGTCCTCATTCCACCCTCTAGGTCCCTACCCTGCTGGACTTGTAAGCAACACCTCCCTCCCCCACACCCTCCCCGTTCTCTAACCAGGTCCTGCTGCCAAAGGCCCGAAGATCAGCCCTTCCCCCACCCCACCCTGGTGGCGGGGCAGTCCACGTGGCAAAGGCAAGGACACTGAAATCAATCTGGGCAGCAGGCAGAAAGCCTGGGGTCGTGGGGGGACCCTCCAGCAGAGCGTTTACTTTCCCAGCAGCCCCAGCCAAGCCAGACCCCTTAAAGGGGCTCAGGAAGTGAAGGTTACTAGAGCTGCCAAAGAAAACTTGAGGCTTGAATAGCCCTCAGCCCGCTGGGATGGGGGAGGAGGAGCTAGAAGAGTCCCCCTGCTCCACTAAGCCCTAAACGCAGAGGAAAGGGGAACGCGGGCAGAGGCCCGGAGACTGGGTTAACTAAGCACTGGCTCTACGGAGCCGCCCAAAAGAAACCGGATTGCATCTCACAGGAACCCAAGTTTCCCTGCCTGAATTCTAGTGGTCTGGGCAAAGTCTGAGAGTCTCTTTTCACTCTCTCAATTTTGAGGCCAAGCGTTGGCTATGTGCCTGCTCTCTCAGAGGGTTGGTCTCTGCCAGCCAGGTCTGGAGCTTTCACGCGCCCCAGCGCACGCTGCTTATTGACAAAGCTCCGGACCCGCACCTTCAGGCGGTGGCTTCTGCAGACCGGCCCCGAGAGCAAACTCTTATAATGGACTCGAGGCCTCCCTGGCGTCAACTTTTTCGCTCCGCTGGCCAGAGACCAATGCCGTCGGGGACCGGGGAGCAACGCCTTGAGGAAACCCAAGTGGCGGGGGTCGGGGTCGTGGGCCGTGCGTACCCGATTCGCAGGGCCCGGGGTGCGCCACGGTGAGGTTGGCGTCGGGCCGAGCGCGGGCCGCCTCCTGCAGGCGGCAGATCTGAGCGTAGGTGCGGCCGTCGGAACCGCAGAGAGGGCGCTGCGAGCGGCAGGCACACAGCGGCTCGGGCACCTCTCCGCGGCTCAGGTCGCCACCAGCGTCCAACTGGCACTCAAGCTGCTCGCCGCAACGCCCGTAGAAGTGGGCACTGGGGTCCAGGTCGCAGAGCTGGCCCTCGAGATTGGCGCATTCCCAGCAGCAGCCGCACGCGTCGCGCACCCGGCCGGCCAGGCAGCCCCGCGGCGAGGCGCACTCTTCTGGCCGGCAGGGAGCGCAGCCCTCGCCCTCCGCCAGCAGCCGCAGCCAGCCGCGCCGCAGGTAATCGGGGCCTAGGGATGGCCGCGCGCCAGCCGGGGACGGCGTCCGCACCACCAGGAGTAGCAGCAGCAGCAGCAGCACGGGAAGCGGCAAGGCAGCTGCGGGCGGCTGGGGCATGATTAGCTGGAAGCCTCGAGAGCACTAGGGGCTTCAGCGCGTGCGTGGCACCCTGCCGGGGATGGAAACCAGGTCAGAAGGTCAGAAGCAACCTCCTTGTTACTCGTACCAACTTGGACCCTAGCACTGCCCCCTCCCCTGCTACCCTGGAGTCAAGTGTCGAAGGGTCATAGGAGGGGTCATCCAGTTACGCTGGGTGGTAATTGATTGGGCTGTTTTGGGGGGTTGGGGAGAGGTGAGAGGAGGGAGCGATAAAGCTCAAGCACACACGCGCACCACCACTACTACCACCACCACCACAAACCATCCAACTTCGAAGCTTCCTGCCCTAGAGGTGGGTGGGAATGGCTGGTCCCAGGAGGAAGGAGTTGTTAATAAGGGTGGAAAGGGGGTGGAGCGGGGGAGGTTGTGTGTGTTAGGGTGGGGGTGGGGTGATGCCCTGGGGCCCAGAGCGCTCACCTGGTGTCCGGGACTATGCCCCTCAGAGCAGCCGTGACTCCTGTCCGAAAAAGCAGGCAGCGGAAAGGAATCGGGTGGGCCCGCCAGCCACCTCTGCTCCGACTTGAGAATCTCTGACAGGGTCCACGGACTTGCACTCAGAGAGCAGCTCCTCCGCCCCCTCTCCCCGCCCCTCGACGTTGCATACCCCACCCCCTCCCCTAGTTCTGAAGCTGCCAATTTTATGCAGCCGTACGGGACCCTCCTGGGCCACTTCCCCCTAGCCTGGTCCAAACTCACAGTAAGAACAGAACAGCAGTAACCGGACACCCAAGCTGGGGAAGGACTAGAGATGGGGTGGAGTGCGGGTTCGGAGTAGGGGATGGGAGGGTGGGGGGTAGCTGGGAAGTTAGAGTTGGTTGAAAGGCTAGGCCCTGTCCCATCTGAATTTACAGTCCAATCCGCTAGAGCAGCTGCAAAAATGACAAGGAGGTAGGAATTCTTGCGCCAAGTCGGGCGCTCCTGCAGGGCAAAGCCAACCAACGTCGTCTCCCCGCAGCCCAGGGGCGATTGCAGGCTTGTCCACCCCACTTCCCCACCAAGTTGCGGACCAGAGACTCGGCGTTTACTTCTGCCTCCTCACATCTGGCCTCCTCCTCCCTCCCCAAATCCGGCAGGTGCTCCAACCCGAGGAGGAGCCGGGTGATTATAGAGGTCCCAGCCGACCGGCGGCCGCTGGGAGAGGTGGGCGGGGCGCCTCCCCAGTGGGCAGCGCTCAGGGTCAGAATTACAGGTTATGGTTGCTAGGCCGGCAGGGCCAGAGGCATTCGGTCTCGCGGCCGCCACCGGCGCCACCGTGGCACTTCGGGCTGGGGGCGGGGAGAAGAACATTCCTGGAGGCCCGACCTCCGTACCAGGGGTCTGCCAGGCCCCGCCCCGGCCTGCCCCCAGCGGCTTACAGAAACCGCGCTGCAGTCCAGTTTGTAGGGGGCGGAGACTGAGCTTTGCAGCCAGGGAGGGGACGTTATTCAGTCAGGCTCCCTCCGGAAGGACCTGGCCCGGGGTGGACACCGGCCTTTCCATCAACCGCGAAGCTAGCGGCTGGGCCTCGGCCTCTGGACCGCCCAGGAGGACTGGCTCCGCATGCGCACTGGGTGCTGGGGAGTCGCGCTCTCGGAAGCGGTCAGAGACTCTCTCTCCTGACCTGAACGCAGCCAAGCCCCTTCATTTAGGGGTTCCCTCGAAGCGCTCTACTGAGGTGGCCGTAGCCAGATACACAGTCACCCTAGTCTCTAAAACGCAGAAGAGTGAAGGGAAGCAAACTTCACGCGATGTCTCGTAACTGTCGCGAGAATCAAAACAGGAAGGAAGTCTAGGAATTCAGAACAGGAAAAGCCCGCGGGTTTTAAACCGTAAAGAGAATGGGTGGAGCCCGGTAAGGCTGATGGTTGTGGGTAATTCCTTGTCCTTGGCCCTGGGGGGCAACTGAGAGTGTCGACTTGGGGCAGAAGTGAACTGTAAGAGAACTGCGGGAAGCCCTGAAAAAAAAGGGGGATGGGGGACTTGAAATTGCGGAGCTGACTAATGGAGCCACCCAAGGACAGGTCTCTGGCTCTGGTTTACAAAGTACCATGAGGGCTGAGATCGATGTCCGGGTTACAGAGCGGAAGCATTCCGGGATCGCTTAATGAATTGTTACCGGCTTCTAAAACCAGGAGCCAATATTTAAATAACAAACTCCACAGATCTAGAAACTCTTCACTTACCCACCTTGTTGTAGCCGGTTGTTTACTTTCAGTCTCTGCTGTGCTCTTTACGTCTGGTATTAGGAATTGTGACTAACTCACCACTGTATCTTGTGAACCTAGCCCCTCTCCTGGCAGCCCAATAAATTGTCGGTAAATATTTGTGGATTAAATGTGAAATACTTTTCCTGAGTGTAAAAGTCAAGTTTAACGTGGATTTTCGGAGTCGCTGACGAAGGCTGGATAGACAGTGAACGAGCGCCCTCTGGTGGTCTTGCGGTTGGTGACGAGAACAGGACCATGCATACAGTAGGCACCAAAGTTGTTGACTCTACAGGACATCTTCTTTTATTAAGTAAAGATTTGTTTCAGGAAAACTCAACATATTGTAAAAATACGTTTAGAAGGGAATTTTTTGCATAAGACACAATTTGAAAGTTTAGATACTTTCCCAGATCCCCATCATCTGACACTTTATCCACTAAGGCTCCAAAACACATTCAGTAACATCTATTCGCATTGTAAATAGTAAATAAATAAATAAATTTAATAAATTTGCATACTTACACTTTGAAACTGTTGACTCAGTTTGACCGGATCATGCAAAATTGTTGGGCCACAGGAAAAGGCTTCTCTTAATTCAGATGATGTGGCTACTGCAAGGAAAGAAGCCAGGTGGCAGCATCCTTTGCATCGGCATGAGGGAGACTAGATTCAGGTGAGGAGGGTGAAGTTAAAATTTGTTGAAGAACAGATAATCCTGCCTCTTTCCTCTCCTTACTGTTTCCTATAGATTCTTGTACTGAAGAAGGAATGGGGTATAGAATATAGTTTGCTTTCCACTGTGAGCCATAGCCTGGAGTTCACGGTTATCATACATTTACTTTCTTTCAGCCACTGACCCATGAGATAATTGTTAAATATAATGACAGAATGAAATGGGTCCTAGACAAATGAACAACATAAGATGAAACACAGCATAAAGGATCAGTTTGGTAAGAAATTACTTGGGAGGACCCACACATTCTAACCTGTCACTTCTTGAACCCTATTTTGACACAACTAGTGAAAATTAACTTTGGAAAAAGCAGAAGTGAAATAGATGGTCCAGATTGACCCGTTAGAAATGGATACAGAGAAATTGTGCTTCCAGTGAACATTAGAATCAGTTAAGTCAAAAAAGTCTCAACATAAATAATTAAGACGGAATACCTTGTTGCTACCTACTACGACAAATTGGTGAACTCGGTCAAAATGAAAAATACATGTTGGAAAATAGAGTTAAGTGAAGAGGAGAAGTATATGAATACTGATTACAGCTGTGTAAATATTATATATATCATCAACAAACACCCTAAGAGAGTGGAACAAGGCAAATGGTTGAGTATAATGCTCACAATCCTTTATTTTGTAAAATTATTTTTCATAATAAAAAAGTAGAGGCTACTTTTATAGGTAAATTAGGATGTTGAGATAAATGTAGAACGTTGGGCTAACCAGGTGGGAAGATAAGCATTATAATTCAGCAACAAAAAGCATTACCAAATGAAAGCTGGAACACCCAGCAGACTAGCTCTCTGGAATACCAAAACATTAAGGCAAGTTGAATGAGCTTTGTGACATGCAGAAAGAAATCAGGTGAAAATTTTCTTCAGCTTACTTTTCTTATGTCACAGGAGGCAACTCCTTCCCCCAGGCTCCCAGTTTCCCAACCATCTTTTTTTTTTTTAATTAATTAATTAATTAATTTATGGCTGCGTCAGGTCTTCTTCGTTGCTGCATGCGGGCTTTCTCTAGTTGCGGTGAGCGGGGGCTGCTCTTCATTGCTGTGCACAGGCTTCTGACTGTGGTGGCTTCTCTTGTTGCGGAGCACAGGCTCTAGGCACATGGGCTTTGCTAGCTGTGGCTTGTGGACTGTAGAGCACAGGCTCAGTAGTTGTGGTGCACAGGCTTAGTTGCTCTGTGGCATGTGGGATCTTCCCAGACCAGGGCTCGAACCTGGGTCCCCTGCATTGGCAGGCAGATTCTTAACCACTGCGCCACCAGGGAAGTCCCCCATCCACCTTTGAGATGGAAATCATAGCTCCATCTGACCTAACAATGTGGCCACATTTTGTATTGATAAACTTAGAAGTGATGTAAAATCATTGACTCTGTCTATATTTCTGTTCTCTTTGTTTTTAACCTTTTTTTTAAAATTTTGAAATATAACAGACAAGCAGAAAAGTGCACAAAGTAGATATAGAGTTTGATTAATTATTACAAAATAAACATTCGTGTGATCATCATCCAGGTCAAGAAATACAACATTGTTAACACCCCCAGAAGCCCCCATCATGATTAATCCCTCCTTTTCCCCCTGGATAACCACTTCTAAGCTCTATATTTTCATTTTACCTGATTTTGACTTTTATATAAGTTAGGATACACCTAGGAATGGAATTGCTGCTTCTCATGATATGCATGCATTCAACAGTAGTTACTACCAAACCATTTTTCCAAATTTTTCCCCCATTATGCCATATCCTTGCCAACACTTGGTATTGTCAGTCTTTTTAGTTTTAGCCATTAAATAAATATTTTAGAGCCTAAGATTCTAACATGACCCATCCCACAAGGATTTCCTCCCCTGGATTTTCAAAAAGCTTTATTTTGAAATAATTTTTAGACTTGTATAGAAATTACAAAAATAGCACAGAAGGTTCCCATGTACCCTTCACTCACCCTGACCCAATGATAATATTTTATTTAACCATAGTATAATTATCAGAAGCAGGACATTGGCATTGCTACAATACTATTAATTAAACTATGGGCATTAATTCAGATTTCACCTGTTTTTACATGTATTTGTGTGTGTGTGTGTGTGTGTGTGTGTGTGTGTTTATAATTGAAAATTTATCACATACATAGGTTTATGTAACCATGAGGTGAGTTAATGAGTCTTCTGGCGTATGAGAAGCTAAAGCTCATGCCAAGGGAAAAGCCAGTAGAATCTGCAATACTAGATAAAATGTCATTTAATATATAAGTTGCCTTTTCAATTATTACCCAGAGTCACTGAAGGGAAGGGAGGCTAGTTGTCAGGATAGCTAATACTCTCACACTTTTCACTCTACATCTACCTGTTGGGGCAGCTGTGGGCATGGGGAGAGTCCCAGGTTCACCGGTTGAAGTCTACTTGTCGTTATGGCACACTTGGAAGGGAAGATTTGGTGATGACAAGTGGTGTTCTCCAAAGCAGAAGGCTCTTCAGTCCCACCTGACTTTTTACTTGACAATTTTGTGTGAGGCCAGTGAGATACCTTCCTGCTGACACCTCTACAGTGACTCCTCATTCCTTCCACCATTATTTTATATAATGTCCAGATGATTACCAAACTTCTATCTCTGGCACAGACCTTTATCCTGAAAGTCACACCAATATATCCAAACTGATGAATCTCCTGATGTTTTCTTCTAAGCAG